GACCCAGGACGCTACCTTGCGGGCATCCGGTATTAATAAGACGGGGCTGAGAAAAATTGTCATTAACACACACTCGGATACTTCGGTCAGCTAAATAAGACTTAAGCCATGCATGAAGTGTACCTGTAATTCCGAATAGTGTCTTGCATTTATATAAAAGACCTGCGTGCCAAATTTTGTCAAAATATTTACTTATATCTAAAAATATTGTTGTAAAATCGTTGCCAGTATCGAGTGCGCTGTACAGTTTGTGTGTGAGGTAAACAAGTTGAAGGTGAGTACTATGATGTGGCCTGTAGCCGCTTTGTTTGTCGGTAAGAAGATTATTTTCGGTTATGTGACTGTAAATGCGGTTAAAAATGATTTTTTCAAAGATTTTAGAAATGCAGGGTAAAAGACTGATGGGTCGATAGTTTGATGGATCTGATGCTGAGCCTTTTCTCTTAAAAATAGCGTGAACCTTTGCTTCTTTCCAAATTGACGGAAAATGACCTTGATTTATCGATTGATTAAAAAGTTTAGTTAGTGGTGTCACTATTAAAAGTGCTACTAGTTTTAAAATTTTTGGTGGGAGATTATCGGGACCACATGATTTGTTTACGTCAAGTGAGTTTAAAAGATTAAGTACTTCTCTCTCCGTAATAGTTATTGTATTTAAGATCGGAACCGGGGATTCTGGCGTTAAAACTGGTATTTGTTTGTCACTGGTCTCTAATATTGACTGATTAGCAAAGTAATTACAAAGTAAATTGGCTTTATCGTTATCATCAGTTGTTGTCTCACCGTCTGGTTTGATGAGTGGTGGTAATACGTGCGTTTTGGATCTTCCGGTCATTTGCCTTAAAATATTATGGTATTTGTGCGGATTGTTTTTCGTAGATAAAAGTTGCTGTACTTGATTTATCCTATACGCTTCTTTTAATTTTTTATTTAGTTCAGTAGCTACGTTTCTCTGCCGTCTCCATCTAGCCCAGCACTCGTCTGTCTGTAGTTTGAGCGCCTTTCTGAATAGTCTGTCTCGTTTTCGGGCTTCCCGTTTTAGTTCATTATTGTACCATGGCTTGCTATTTGGTCTAGTGCGTATTATTCTAGTCGGTATTGCTTTGTCTGCTGCGCTCAAAATTGCATGTGTAAAATCCACGGTGGCCTTGTCAGTGTTTTGATTAATAATATTATCCCAGTCAGTTTGTAAAAGTTCGTTTGTGAGCATATCTGCGTCGAGTAGGTGGAAATCTCGTACCGTCTTTGTAGTGCTCTCTGTAATTGGTTTTGTTATTTTCACTGTTACGTATACCGGAAAATGGTCAATCTGGGAGAATGGGGAAGCCACACCATGGTCGACCACCTGGTCTCTGTCAGATATAAAAATTAAATCTCTTAAATTTGCAGTGCTAGCGTTTGGCCTAGTTGGCTGGTCTATTAATTGAAAAAGATTCAGAGAGGACGCCATGCCTTCTAGCTGTCTTTCGAATGAAGTGATTTCGCTGTGATTTTGATGGCTTTTGTGTAGATAATTGTTACCGGCGTTAAAATCTCCTGCAATTAGAATCATGGTCGGATTGAGGGATTGAGCGAGTGCCACACTTTCGCCTAATGTCTCTAGAAATTCGTGCAACTTGTCTTGAGACATTTTTGGTGGGATGTAGACACAACATACTATTATTGTTTGTTTCTTTATTTTTATGAGCGTCCAGATCCACTCTGTGCTTCCAATTTCGAGTTCTGGTAAGCGTTTTGCTGCAAGTGAAGTCTTAAAATAAACAGCTACACCACCCCCGTGTCTAGAGCGATTTTTCAGATACGGTTCGTGATAATTATCGAGTTTATAAAGGCTAGGGTGTATCGTATTGTCTAACTTTGTTTCTGTCAACATGAGAATGTCGGTCCCAGAAGAGTCAGCAAAGTCAGATAGTTCGTCTAGTCGGTGTGGTGAGGTGATGCTATTGATGTTCACGTGGGATACTTTAATGCTCATGTTATCGCTACTGAAAGGACCAGGGTTCGACTCTATTCCAGATTTTAAGAGTAATGCGGGGGTGTCGTGATATATGTTCAGGATCCACCATGGGATATGAGGAGAGAGGGAAGTAGTAGGATGTGGGTGGTTATGAGAGCGATAGTTACCAGAGTCCGTGCAGGAGCCAGCAGAGAAGTAAAGTACCAAAGAAGATGGTGCCAAACAGGTGACCGGGTTGTAGGCTGGCGGAGTGGGGAGCCCAAGTTGTTGGTTAGCGTCAGGAGAGGTTGATGGTGCCCTCCAGCTGGCGGAGACGGGACGGGCGGCCGGCGGCGCACCTGGAGGCAGCGGGTAGCATGGAGTCAGTGAAAGCGGCGTTGGGTTAGGCACTGCATGCACGGTGACCGGAGCACAAACATTATTGTTTACGTTACAATACAGGCTAGGATAACTTATCTATACATAATATGATCGGTAGAATAAATAAAGTTAATTGAACAAAAATACCGTCGACAACCAAACAAAGGAAAACAACCAAAAATTTAAACACGTTATGCACATACTCTGGTGAAAACAAATGCACACAATGAGGACTGCTCCATCTAAACAACCCAGCAGAACCGGCAGCAAAGCAATCGCGTCGACGGCTCATCAGACCTAGCGGAGCGCCGCGACGCCTGCAGCTTAAACGTACGTACGTGACCGTCTGTCTCAACACTCATGTTCCACTACCACGTCATACAACCCCGACACGCCTCCCTCAGCGAAAAAAAATATCACTCTCACCCACGCTACCCCGCCCCCTCCCACCAGCTCCCCCGCCCCTCCCCGCTCTACCCCACCCCTCCAACCAGCTACCCCGACCCCTCCCGCTCCCCCACTCCCACCACAGAGCGAGTCAATAGTCTCGGAGTAATAAGAAGTTACAAACTGTGAGTATGAGCAGGACGTGGTCGTCGCTCTCTCGTCGCCGCGGTTGCCCGCAAACGCGGGACGCCAGGTCGTCACGAGTGCAGAAGGGCCGGCCAGCCGACCGCCTCAGCGACGGCGGTCAGCTGATCGCTGGGCGCCGCCGCGCCCTCCTCTCGCGTCACCGCGGCGGCCGGCGCGGACCGCGCCCAGCCTGCCGAGCCGGCGGCGTCGTCGATAGGCAGGATCACTCACTGACGGGTGAGTTTTTCCAGGTCGTCCTCGGTCTGGATCTTGTGCGATGGGTGTGGGTCTCGCTAGGTCGTGGTGAGCGGAAATGCCAGTCAAGCTCGGCTTCAAAACTTGGCCCTTGCGCTGACCCGCGGCACGGGTCAAACTCTTCCGTGCACCAGGTGACAGAGGCGCTGTGACACGTGTCATGCGTGTGACGCTCGCGCTGACATCCTCCCGTGATGGATCCGCTCGCACCTCCGCTCGATCGGCGCCGTTTTGCGGCAGCGTGAGAGCGCAGGGCAATCGCGGCGGGATCGCGACGAAGATGTATGGCCACTGGCCCAATATGGCGACGAGGCGGCGCCCGTACCCCACTGGACCGATAACGGCGGCCCGTACATCATTAGTTGTTTGATTTATTTCCCTGGACAGTCGATTCGGGTGCCGATAAAACGACGCGTTTTCGAGCGTGTTTCAGGCCGAGTGGCCGGATAAAGGTAGATGATGTTAGGCGGGACTGGAAACACCAAACATGATTGGGCGTCTGGTATTATCAGTCTGGACCCAGCCGCTCAAGCACAGAACGGGAAAGATGTGCTATGAGCCTTGTGAAGTGAACTGACACAACTTGTTCAGCGCGGGTGGGCCATGAGCCCTTAGCCATGTCCTGTAATATGTTGGCTTCCGGTTCTTTAATGCTTTGTGTGGCTCAAAGCTAGGCAACAAAATCATCACAATCACAACTTTGAGCAGGGAGGAAAAACGGAAAATACACTTGAAAGCAATGTAAATTACACTAAAATTATAATTTAGCATTGCTTTGTTTTATAAAAATATGATCGATGCTAAAATGCAGCAATCTTTCATGTAGAACCAAGAACGCGCATAAAAAAGCATTAATCTCTTCTCAAGTTCTTCTCAATGACCTGATTTAGTCCGTTAGATCAGCCAATGCGCCAGCTCATGATAATTTCTAGTCTACTTGCATCTGTTTGCAATGTCACATATTCGAGAATTCAATTGCAGCGGTTTGCTAGCATTTCCATGTATGGCGCAGCTGCTCCTAACATGGCGCGTACAAAAGTAAATATGTAAATAGCTTATCAATAGGTGTCGTGTTGTGTCGTTTGTGTTGAGGGGATTGGTTATCAATATTTGTTTAGCAGTATTTTGCATAAATATGGAGTCTGATGATGATAGTAACTTTATCCTGGTGAGTTACATGATTTTAGATAGTAGGAAAAATCAGGCGTTTTGTGCTGCACTCCTAAATTCCTTGCCATTTTTCGAGTATTAGTATCAGTATATAGGTATCAGTTCAGGTCCACATGCTGTTGAGAAAAAACTTGCTCTCAAGAAAACAACCCATGCATCTGACACGAATTAAGAATTATTATATTTCATTGCACAGCTCAAAACTGGATGCTCATGCATGATGCAAGGCTCTATGAATGCATCACATAAGTTTTTGATTGTGAAGTAGGTCAGACTGTGAAGTGTGGCAAAGCAGTAGTCGTAAAGCAGGCATCACACTTGTTTTTGCAACCAAGGAGTGAAGCTTTACCATTACCCAGAGGCTAGAGATGCTTTCTAATCAAACCAAACCAAACCAAACCTGATCTAACCTTACCTACAACCTTAAACTAAAACCTACCACCTAAAACCTACCACCTAACCTTGACCTACATTTCCTAACCTAACCTACATCATCTTCATCTAACCTACATCTTGGTTACAAAAAAAAAACAAGTATGACAGACACCTGGTTTACTACTACTGACGAAGCCACACCAGCCCACACCAAGCTGGCTGAAAATATGTCTTGAATAAAACCACAATGGACTACGTATCACCTGTTATTTAAAGGAACCCATCTGATTGATTTTTCCTTTTGTTTCAGGGAATCGGCATCGACAGCGATTCATTCCCAGGTGAAGTAACTGAAATAACTATAGTAAACCGCGAGCCTGGTAAGTCTCCATGCTTGTTGGCTGGGAAGTTAGTATGGGGCTCAAAGTCTGTACCATATTGTTCAGAATTTGGTCTCCGTGTTTATTTGGATCAAACTGCAAGTGGTATTGTACTTTTTTGCTGTTTACTGGTTGCCATTAGAATAAGCAAAAGGATTTAGCAATACAGAAGTGTTTTGGTGTTAGTGGCTACCTATTAATGCATTTATTTCAGTGCTATACTTTGTAGCATTTTTGTTTGTGCATTTTTGAGCCATGCCTTGTATTTTATTTAATAAAAATGCATTTCTCAATTATATTTACTCAATCCAATAAGTGGTTAATCAGCATTCATTGTGCTTTGTTAGCATTACATACATGTCTCATTGTGGTGAACAGATGTGATGTTTAGGATATTGATGTGATTGCTCTACACAGCACAGTAGCAGCCCGTACATTGAGCGCATGGCATGCCTGTTGTAATTGCTCGTCGCTTGGTGTCTCTGCTGTGCCTGTACCCATTGCCCTCTCTTCCCCCCCCCCTACTCCACCACTGGCCTTTGACCCATGGTGGGGCACCAGAGCCCTCCATATTTCACCTGCCTAGTACCACCTATTACCACACTCGCAGCAGCACATTGTCACATGGTCGTTTCTCCATGTCAGCACTCAACAGAATCGCATACATCTTAGATAAATGTGGCCAGTTGTGCCTTTGTTTGGCTAATCATTTTAAATTCAATCTACAGCATTTTAGGCGCAATTTCAAAAAGTTAAAGGAAATAGTTCACATTTTAACATGGGTTTTTAACTGGAATAGCAGTTCCGTAGCTTGGGCTGAGACGAGCATAAATCAGGAGCTTTTACAGCCCAACGATCACCCTAGGCAAAGATATTCTATTTCTCGTCCCGAAAAAGGTGCCTTGCGTTGAGGTTGTGTGCCTTGCATATATTTGCATCCAGTATGAAACGAGCATGGGTCCTGAAAATTCTTCAGAAACGCTCCAGTAACAAAAGAAAATTATTCAGAAAATTCTTCAGAGGCGCTCCAGTAACAAAAGCATGAGCAGATCGCCCAAATGCCGGTGGCCGCGATAATTTCTCTATAGCTTCTGAAGAATTTTCGGGACCCATGCTCTTTTCATACTGAATCGCGTGTGCCTTACAGAAACTGAAAAGTTCTTCCTATATCAAAAATATAGAAAATAATATTTTGTTATAAAAAGGTTTTATTTTCTTTGCTGATCATTTTGAACATAAAAAATCATAAATCCATTGCAAAAAATATAATTTCGTGAAAGTGAACTATTTCCTTTAAAGACCAAATTCAAAACGTTCACGTGCATTTTGAATGTAAACTTTTTGAATTTGGTCTTTAAATTTTTGAAATTGCGCCTAAAAAGGTGAAGCATTTAATGGGGTGATATGGCCATTGGCCATGATTGTAGTAGCTCATTTGAAGCGAAACTACTTTTCATAGTTTTCATAGTTTTTCATAGTCTTTAGCAAGGGGCTCGATATATTTTGCAAGAAAAAGATCAATTATTTGCGTACATCATTTATTGGATTTTTTGTTTTGTTTAATTACTAAATATTCAACCACCCATCTTGCCTTTTTTCTCCGAAAATACCACATTGTCGAGTGAGGTTTTCATGTCTCATCTTCATTCCAATCATCTTATCACGCGGCCTTTTGTGTCGGCACAGCCATTGAAGCCCCCTAAAAAGCTTTCTAAATCACTAGCTCATCTCACAGCGCACAGACTACCCAGCACCCCTGAGCCGATCAGAGGCCGCATAGAGAGGGTGTCGCCTGCGACAGATGCGACCAAAATCGACGATCTACACAATCAACTTGCTGCTTTAGCGGGCAAATTGGTTCCGATCCAAAGTAGCGAGCTGTCGCGAGTGATTTTGCCGCCGCCGTCACCGCCGAGGGGGAGATCGATTTTCGTTTAGCGCCCGGCTGTATCGCAGCTCCACTTGTTGCCGCTGCGGTCGGTAAATCAGCTATCTGCCGGCGGCCGGGCGCGGGCCGCTCCGTCGACCGACGAGATCACCTCCAATCGGACCGGATCGCCGCGGATCTCAACGATCCGCCGATCCGCGCCGCGGTAAACTCACCAGCTCGTTTTGCCGCTGTCGCCGATGGGATCTGGCGGCAGGCTGTGCGGCTCGACGCATTTCCATCCATCGGGAACTCATTTCCGGAAAAACGTCATGCCTCGCGGCGTCTGGAAACGTCTTTGATGTACCGGGAGAATATTTGGACGAAAATGCACCTCTAACTCGCGAATCCGTTGATGTGTGGTCGTTTTTTTTTTTTTGCGACGCCGCTCGTGCCTCCCCTCGGCGCACCTGTTTGTGGTGGTGGCCGTTTATCCCAGCCGCAATTACCCTAAAAGCGGTCTTTGTGCCCGGAGTGGGGGCTGGCGTTGAGAGGGATAGAGCAAAAACTGAGCTGGGAGCGCCAGTAATGACTGCTGTCTTCAGCTGAAGCCCGCAGGATAGCAACCGCTCGATGTGGCAAGTCCAGACGGCTTTTGTCTCCTCATTGCTCTTTGAAGATTCTGACCACATCATAGAATGACTGCACGGGTCTATGATTTCTTCTGAGGAGCCACTGAGTAAACATCGTGACCAGGCGGCCGAACATCTGCCATCACCTGTCCAGCACCGGTCGGTTGCCGGGCGGTAAATCGCCGCGGTCGTCTGTCTGCCCTCTGTGACGTCACCGGTTCTTCTCGGTGTCATGACGGCGCAGCGGGGCGCGGCGACGAAGTGGGCGTCGGTGACAGGCGACCGAGCTGAGCGCGCGCGACTTGCACCCTAGCACTAATGGGGATTGATTGCGGCGCACCTGACGTCAGTGCTGTCTGCGCTTGTCCGCTCGGGTCGCGGGGACCGACCGACGGTGGAAGGCTGAGGTCGGAGAGCTGCTGACTGGACGAGAGGCTGGCTGGGGTCCCCAGCTAGCTAGGAGTCGACTATTGTGTGGATGGTGGCAAGCTAGAGGTCCACAGAAGTAAGGTTGCAATGTGATGGAGCAAGCAAATCGTGGAGAGATCACGGCTCGAATCTCGATAGAGCGGCTTTGGTCGGTTGGCTGGATTTTGGAATCATCCTGGAGCTGTGAAGTCGACTGACTTGCTTGACTGTGGTAACTGCTGACTGGACACGGACAGTGGACCGGCTAGAATCTAAAACGACACTTTACAGTGTGACTAGGTCTGACTCAAGCTCTCAGTGTGTTGACTGACCAATAACAATGACCCAACCTGACCCCACCTGACTTCTTCACCGCATCCTGTCATTGTAACCACACGATAGAGCCTGTCCTGACCTGACCTAAGCTAGTACGACCCGACCAGACCTGACCTTACCTGACTGGACCTGTCCTGTCTGACGCAAACCATCCAGAGCTGACGTGACTGAACTACCGCTGCCTTGCTCGCTTTGGACATGCTCATTAGACTTTGACATTTGACGAACTAACATGCACTGGTGTTGGTACAATCACCTGACTTCTATTCAAATAGTGCTATACGAATATTCAGAACGTGTTCGTCAAACAGATTTCCCCGCTTTGACTGAGCTATTCGGACATCCTTTACACTGGATACGGACATTAGTGGTTACGGTGGATTCGGACATCAGGCATTAGACGCACTTACACGGACCCCAGACTTACCGATCAAGAGTTGGATCTTGTCATCAACTGAGGTGGCTCCTGATTGGCATACACCACCCATAGAGAGCACCCGGTATCATCACCCCACACCGGTGATGCGCCCTGCATGTGCACGAGTCGATGTCGCTTGGCTACCTCCAGTTTGGTTCGCTCAGCACCAGACCACACATTTTGCTTTGCTTCGATGTTGGTGTAGCACTGGTCGTTTTCTGTTGGTTTTGCTGTTTTAGATAGAATTATATTAAATTTAGGACGAAAGAAATGTGATGTTCTGTGCGCTTTGGCTGGTTCTAGTTAGTCCTGCCATAAAGTGAATTAGGACTTAATTTTCTTTTCACTGTTTGCTATGGAAAATTTCGGTGCCTGTTGAAAAATACATTCCCTAAACTGTTTTCAATTTGCATAAAATTGCTGGCAATCGGAAATTTAGTCCGAAATCGCTTTGAAACTTTTGGTCGGACCACGACGTTGTTGATAAGCTCGAAAGAGCCTCCGAAATTTCGAGATTGGGTCCAGTGTTCGCCGCCGGTGCCGTGATCAGCTCCGGGCTGGAACTCTCCGTCGCCCGGCGGTGTCAGCGCGCTGACACCGGGGGCCGTCCGCAGGCCTCAAGTGTCAGGTGGACGACCTGCTGCTGCACGCGGGCACGCACCCCTCGGACGTATTCTGCAGCGTGCCCGGCCGGCTCAGTCTGCTCAGCTCCAACTCCAAGTACAAAGTGAACGTGGCAGAGGTGCGGCGCCGCCTCTCGCCACCCGAGTGCCTCAATGCCTCACTGATGGGTGGCATACTGCGCAGGTGGGTGTGACACGGCGACACTCACGATACCACGACACTCTAGACACTCATCGAATACTCGGAACACCCCCGAGTCCATACACAACCCAAAACACATACCCTTCTCCCACACACCGCTTCCATTCCAAACCCATCCTACCCCTCTGCCACCCCAGTCCTGGCGACTCGCCCGGGCGCCGGCGGCGGCGGCTGATTGCCGACTGGTCACAGGCCTGAAGCGGGAGATGGCGCCTACGGAGGTATTCTGTAGTGTGCCCGGCCGGCTCAGCCTGCTCAGTTCGACGTCCAAGTACAAGGTGACAGTGGGGGAGGTGCAGCGGCGGCTGGCGGCGCCGGAGTGTCTCAACGCCTCGCTGCTCGGCGGCGTCCTACGACGGTGAGTACCGAGAGGGGGAGGTCTACCACGGTGGAGGGTTCGTGCCGGGAGGATGGGGCTTATCGAGAGACGCACAAGGAAGTCTGACGGTGTGGTGTGGTGTGACCTGTGCGAAAGGTCATGCTGAAGATGGTTAGTGAGTGGAACGGTGTTCACAGTTACTGGACCTAAAAATTAAAGATGTTTGGGCTGATGAATTTAAGAGAAGTGACCAGGCTTCAGCAACCAGAGACCTTGTATTTTGAATATTCTTCAGTTGTGTACTTGCTAGCATGAAATTCATGCACATGCCGTTTCAGCCTGTTGCTATAGACCGACAGCTTACCCGTTTGCTCAGCGGCGGGTATTGCCTCCATTGCACACCGCGCACCGCCAGCCGGCTGTGTTTGTTGTCTGGTTAGCGGCGCGGCGCTGCGTCTGAACGGAGATCCCGGCGTGGTCTCCTGGCGGTGACGGTGACGCACCTCCTCTCCTAGCGCGACGTCAGCGTCGCGGGGCGCTGTTTGCCCGGCGGGCGGGGCCGGTGTGTGCCGTCGCCTCGTGCCGTGTTGAACGAACGTGCCTGGCGCAGCGGCCCGATGAGATCATGCGTTAGGTGACGCGGTAGGAGAGGATGATGGGTGGGTGGTGGGCCGCTGTGAGGGTCATTGTCCGAGACTTGAGAAGTGATGGTGGCCTATTAGGGTCGCCGTTGACTCTGCAAAGCGTGCATACAGTTGGGTCATGTTTGATTGTCAGGAACATACCTGCATGTAAACGTTATTCTATTGTTGAGTTAAACATGGATTTGACCCAGTAATGGCCCAGCGTGGGAGCCTTCTCCGCGGGTGGGCCAGATCCGTCGACATAAGTGGCTGACTGTCTGACACCGGCCAGGTAAAGCCGACGGGACACGTGAAAAGCTGCGCGTCTGTATGTCCGTGCTGGCGGCGGGTCGGGCGGGCTCAGCGGCGCCGCTAATCCGGCAGCTCTGACGGGCCGGGAGCAGCGCTAATCCGGCGGCTCTACCGACCAAACAGACCCATCGACTCGGCGGGACAGAGGGTCGGTCGTGTCCGCCGTATGGAGACGGTGTTCAGCTAGTGCCCTCCTACCAACGAGCGGCCTTTCAGGTGCCGCGGAGACGGACAGGCGACAAAGTTTGAATGTCGTCTATCCGTCTTCGTGCCGGTCTGAAAAACCAGCGGCGATACCTGTCTGTGAATTCGGATGGAGGAGCCCTCCACAGCGCCTGTCGTCTGTTTTGACTGGCCTGTTGTGCAGGCTTTGTCTCTGACAGCTCGTGCGGAGGTGTCTCGAGAGTCGCTCGTGCAGATGCGGTCTGCAACCGGACGGGACAGCCTGGGACTCCCAACTCGAGTGCCTGTCAGTGGCTGGCTGGACAAGATCGCCGCGCGGCCATCTCGCTGTTTGATCTGAATGACTTGTGCCGTGCACGGCTGCTGATTAGTTGGCTGCGCCGCCCCTGTATCTACAGACACGGCCTTGTTCGCGGTGTGTGCTCAGTCGGCGTCTGTACCGCCGCGGTCTGATCGGAGTCGGGTCTGACCCAGCAGACCGACCCTCCCGTACCGATCCAGTACCGGATAGCTGCCCGGAGAGCCTGTAAACAATAACTGACCCGGCCGCTCACCAGTCAAATGGCCTTGTTTTGCGCAGGTGAATGACGATGGTTCGGCCGCGTTCGCTCGAACAAAGCCGACTTCCTAGTGACGCGAACGGCAAATTATGCTTTTGAAACGCTCTGAACCGTGGGCTGTCTGCGGAGCTGTCGTGGACAAACAGCTGCGGGTGTGTTCATTTTGGCTGTTTGGGCGCGCACGGGTCATGATCGGTAACGGTGGTGAAATCGTGCAGTGGTGCCGAGTGGCGAATTTTCGATGTTGCGCGTGAGTCAGCGCGTCACCTCGGAACGACCTCCGGCCACGATTACCCCATCGACACAATCGGGAAAGTCACCGGTGGGGCGACCCGTTTGTCTCCAACCGCACCCGCCCACCGTTTGGCGATGGTCCGGCGTGGCGGGTGTCCGCAGCGCGACACAGCTTTGTCTCGGCGTGAAACGACGCGGCGCGGCGCGGCGATTGTCCTGTCGGGACGGCGATGAGCGGAGGCGCGGGGGCAGCCGCCCGGGTCGCCAGCGCCGCTACCGCGCCTACCGGACCCGTCTCGCACACCGGGAGGCAGCCTTTCCCTGTCGCCGTGTGATGGAGCGGCCGGCTCGCCTCTCAGGCCAGTGCGGTACCCCGAGCGGCCCGGGCGCTGGCCCACCGCCCTGCGCCACGTCGTGTGCGGCGGACGATACGACACCGCCGGCCCACCGCTCGGAAGTCATGATTCTTCGATTTTCATGACAGGCCGTGCCTTTGTCTCGTGGTCTCGGTCGGTTCGTTGCACCTGCGATGGCCGATGCCAGTGCGGCTCTCCGGCCCGGCGCCGTCCGAGTGGCTGGCTACATATGTATGGGCCGACCGCCGCGGCCGCCATTCGTTGTTGAATTTGCGCTGGCGGCCGTACTTTGTCCCTTTCATGTCGGGTGCAACGTCATGCCGGCTCGCTGGTGGCCGAGCCGACGTCTCACGTCATGCTCGGCTCGGCGCTGACCGGCGCCGTCCACTGCGGGACCCCGCGCGGCCGCCCCCGCCGACCGGCCACCTCCGTCCGCGTTCACCACCGGTGTCCAGCCGGGCTGGGATTCCGAAAATACTGCTTCCCTGCGTGCCGACCGCCAACCACAATGGACGACGCCGTCGGACGCACAACGCGATCGGACGCGGCGGCCGAATCGTATCTGGCGTCGATCGGGGAGCCTGGCAGCTGAGCGCACTCTCCAGCCCGCCTGGAAATCTTAATTAGCGCCCTGGAAGTGGTCTGATGGATGGGCGAGCCGGGCGCCCTCGCTGGTCAGGTTGGATCTCCTGCCCTCCGCGGGACGGAGAGCCTTGGTCGGGAAGACCCGGATGGTGGTAGATATGGACTAAAACACGAGTGCTGATTGTGTTTGGAGAGCTGAAGTGACAGGATAGGTGAATGGTTAAGGCCTCTTAGCTCTAATTGCTATAGGCATAATCTCACAAAATCGACTGGAGCGATGACCTGCAAAATATGGACGCTGTACCTATAAGGACCGATCCGCTATGTCAATGCATGATTATGATTCAGGTCTCCCTTCATTGCACCGTAGTTTTCGTGCAGGTCCACTCACGAGTAACGTTACCTGAACGTAACCTCCACCCAACCACGTGAACTGTGTTTCAAGCTGTCCCATCAGCATTCTGCCTCTGCTGCGGCCGTCACCGCCACCTCCGCGCTCTCTCGCTGAGCCCGGCTCTGCACAGACAGACGAATGGACGCACGCCACTGCCGGTCCGCCGTCTATGGTTTGCCTGTCATAGCAGTCCCCCGGTGAAAAATGACGACCGATGTGTCTGCCCAGTGCGCCGGGGACTTCTGGGAACCTGGGGCTCGTCTGTGACCAGCAGAGGATGGTGACGAGTCGTCGGACTTGTGTGGTCAGGTGGGAGGGTAAGGGGCGGTGAAGTCGCTTGTTGGTGGTGCCAAATAGGTGCCAAACTGGTGGCGCAGCTGGGGAACGCAGCTGGGTTGTGCTGCTTCAATGTCGTTTTATTATTATCACCGTTTTGATGTAAAAAGTATAGGTTTATAAAGCGTAACTAAATCATCCTTCTCGGCTGCTCATTTCGATTTGCTGCTTTTTCAGTATACAGCTGTTTTATCACAAATTTTGCTGACTCCTGTTGCCATGACTTCGCGTCGCTCTCTGGGCAGAGTCAGAACAGTTCAGGGACAGTTCGAGTCCCTGCCGGGCGTCCGCAACGGTCGCCGACCTCACGTGGCCAGTTTTGGCGTTCTGGTCACGTTTCTAACCGACCTTTATGACATCACAATTACCTGTCAAAATTTACCTGACCGCGCTGGTAAAGCGATGGCACCGGTCCGCCTGGTGACTCGCCCGGTCTGCGCTCTCTCAGAGAGTCGCCGGGACCGTCCTCGTTTCGTCAGGAGGCAGTGAGTAGTAGGGCTGCAGATCTGCCCCATTCGCCACGCTCGGCCGGGAGCAGGGCGCTGCACGTCGCACGCGTTTCGAGCGCTAATGGAGCGCGCCGGGCGTCCCTCCCGCCCCTCGCGCGAGTCGGGGCGGCGCCGGGCACCAATGGCCACCTTATCCGGCCACGGGACCGGCCTCCGAGTCTCGATATGGCCAGCCCTCATCTCCGTGGAAGGGAGTGTGCGCCCAGCGAGTCTGCGAGGCCCATGCGTTATCGTCGGTGAGAGTGCATTTTTCACATAAACGTTCAAACGCACGCTATCGGTAATCGGTCGGATGATGTATGGTAGACGCCGCCAGAGAAATTGCCGGGTTCCTCTGCCCACACGCGAATATAAATAACGAAACACGGGTCGAGACATTGCCGTGATCCCGACAATGGCCACATTCAATTAAAATGGGGCGTTATTTATTGTTGCCACTCTGCGTTGCGGTTGGTCTGGTGCGGATGGAGCTTTTTGCGATGGCAAGATAGTGCGAGATGTCGGGCGGAGCGAGAGGTGGATATTTTCTCAGACTCCGCCTCTTCCTCTCTGTTTAATGAGACATGGAGCTGGAAATTCTTGGACTACGTGGGGTCAGTGTATCATTTATGAATACCTAGATGCAGCATTCATAAGCCTGTCTGTTTTCGATCGTATTTGATTTGCAACGTCCCGAATTGCCTGCGCCGCACAGTCTTACATGACCCCGAATCCCCGTCCTGCTTTTGTTCTCTGTCATTTCATTCTCCGATGCGCCACAGATTTACGACACACGTTTAACGGTTACCTCACAAAGTCAGGAGCATCCAAACATGGAGCTACGAAAAGGCCGAACGAAGCAGCGCTGAGATTGGCCCCGATTCCGTCGGCCGGAGTCTGTTCTCCGAGTCCATTTTTGTCTGACCGACGTGGAACCTGTTTGAATCACTTTACAACCTGGACTCAAT